TTTTTTTTTTTTTTTAATAGTGGTATTAAGAATCAAATCTAGGGCTTCAGTCATGTCAGGCAAGCACTATATCACTGAGCTATACTCCAACTCATACAGCTTTTGCAACTGAACATTGTAGAGCTAATGTGTTTTTCTTCTGGTGCTGGTACTGGGGCTTGAACTTGGAGCCTGGGTGCTGTCACTGAGCTTTTTTTTTTTTTTTTCTTTAATCAAGACGGGTACTCTACCACCTGAGCCACAGCTCCATTTCCTGCTTTTTTGTGTTCAATTGGCAGATAGGACTGGCTTAGAACCTTGATGTTCAGATCTCAGCTTCCTGTGTTGTTAGGGTTAGGATTACAGGCATGAGCCTCCAGTGCCCAGCCCACACTAATGTCTTGCAGCTGAAGATTCTGGGATTTGAAGAACACTTTCCAGGCTAACTGTGCAGCACAGAGGCCAACTTCATGCCTAGCATAAAGCAAGGCCACACAAAGAACTCTTTAAGCCTTGTGCATGACTCTAATTCAGTAGCATATCTGTTTGAGGAAAGATCAGCCATGTAGGCCAGATGTTTTAAAGTCAAATTTGTACAAAAGTTCCTTTTTAGAAAATTGGAAATAGCAGATTAACATCGGAGGAAATCCTGAACCTTCCTTGTTGCTTTCCTGATCCTGGGGAGCCCCCTTTCACACCATCCCTATTAAGATGCTTTTATTCTCTTTTTTATACTGGTGAACCTGGCTCTAGGAGTGGAAGAAAGTAGGAGTTGAGCGGCTGCGGCTCAGCACAATCGACATGACTGGGGTGCCCACACTGGCCAACCTCCACAGAGGAGTCCAGTTTGTTCTCAAATACCAAAAGCTGGGCAAGAGTGTCTACGTGCATTGTAAGGCTGGGCGTTCCAGAAGTGCCACCATGGTGGCAGCGTATCTGATTCAGGTAAAGCCTATCTGGTATAAGGAGAGATGTCTCTGGATTGGCCTCATTTATAGAGTTCCAGAACTTTTAATAAGCATGATGTACTGGCCCATTACTCGACTCTAGGCTGCATGGCAGTGGTGTGTCGGGCAAAGCACCCAAGCTAGCCTCTGGCTCTGCCACCTGCCTGTTAGGAGAGACAAATACAGCTTCTCCTTTCTGCTGCCCAGTTTCCTTAACCTAAATCTGTCATGAAGTATAAATGAGAAAGTACTTCAAGTGTTTAAAAAAAAAATGCAGTCAACTGGATGAAAGGCTAGAAACGCTTGTTGCAAAAACCTCAGAAAATCTAGTACTATATAGACAACAGTGCTAATCACATCCAGCCTTGTAGAACTCAAGTATTTTTATTTCCATGTAAATTCTGGACATGAGTTTTTAGAAAAGGGAATCCAAACTAAACTTTGCTTATCTGTTTGTTGACTGGCAAGTGGGATGTTTTAAAAATATTTAGAAGCAAATTCCTTGTAGTCCTTTATCACTCCATTGTCTTGCTCCTCCCAACTTAGTTTTTGTTACTAGTCTGCTCTCTAAGAGTGTTTCTAAGTCATGTGGATAATTTAAGCCCTAAAGAGATGGGGAACTATTTGCTGCCAGGGGTCATTTCAGTATTTATAGTATCATTTTCAGGCCATATGAAATTATCAATACAGATATAATCTTGGACAGATGATAAGAAACATACAAAAAATATACACTGTATGTACCAAATGAGTTTTTGTACGTTTTTCATTGTAAAAATACTGTATAGAGGGGAATACTTTACAGAGGAGTTACAGTTACATGGGCAAGGTATTGAGTACATTTCTTAACAAGCATTGTTGCCTCTTCCTTTGTTTTTTCTCTCTCATTCCTTCCCTCCTTCCCTCCCTTCCCTCCCACCTCCACAACTACTCCCCACCCCACCTACTAAATGATTTTGTGAGCCTTATATGACCTGTAGGCTTTACATTTCCCACCCCTAAAAAGGAAGAGTGATCATCAGCCTAGCCTATTACTGTGGACTAGTATGTGACTGAACAATATGAAAGTTTTCATTGTAAGAAACTGCCAGAAAATAGTCTCAGGAGTATATTTTGGGCCGAGTGAGAATTGAACCAGCAAGCTAGAAATTTGTACTGTTGAGGTCCTATTGAATTCTAAACTATTGAGCACTGTAGAATATAAAGATTACTCTGCTAGACAGGCGCTGGTGGCTCATGCCTGTAATCCTAGCTACTTGAGAGGTTGAGATCTGAGAATTGCGGTTCAAAGCCAGCCTGGTCAGGAAAGACTGTTATCTTCAATTAACCACCAGAAAACTGGAAGTGGTGCTGTGGCTCAAGCTGAAATGCTGAGGGCCAGCACCCAGGCCCAGAGTTCAAGCCCTACCTCCACCACCAAGATAACTCTGATAGTTAAACTTAAAAAGCTCTTTTCTAGCTGTGCAATGAGTCACAAATATCTACTATATACTCATCCCTAGAAACTATTTTATTTTTTGAGGGGAAGGTCTGGGAGGAACTGTATAGCCCAGGCTGGTCCTCAAGTTCATGATCCCTCCTCAGCCTCCTCTTAGTATTGTTGTTATAGTTATAGCACTACATTTAGCTTCTAGAAATTTATTTTTGGAGGGTGCAGGGGATTGAGCCCAAGACCTGTGTATTCCTAAGTATGTACTTCATGACTGAGCTAAACTCTGATCCCTCCTAGTTTGTTTTTTTTTAATTAGTATACATTAATTTTGCAAAGGTGTTTCATTTAAAAAATGTGTGTGTGTGTGTGTGTGTGTGTGTGTGTGTGCATGCTGGTTCTGGGGCTTAAACTCAGGGCCTGGGCTCTGTCCCTGAGCTTCTTTTGCTCAAGGCTCATGCTTTACCACTCGAACCACAGCTCCACTTCTGCCTTTTTTTAGTGGCTATCTGTGGATGCAAGTCTCATGGACTTTCCTGCCTAGGCTGGCTTGGACCACAGTTCTCAGATCTCAGCCTCCTGAGTAGCACATACCTGGATTTTTATTTGGAAGAAGACTTTCTGGGGCTTGAACTCAGGGCCTAGGTGTTGTGCCTTAGCTTCTTTGCTCAAGGCTAGCTGTCCACCATGAGCTGCAGTTCTTTTTCTGGTGCTTAATTGAGGATGAGTCTCATGTACTTTCTTGCCCAATCTGGCTTTGAACTGCATTTGTCAGATCTGAGCCTCCGTAGTAGTTAGGATTACAGATATGAGCCATTGGTGGTTGGCTGGACTGTTTGTACTCATTTTCACATACTTACTAGGCAAGTACTCTTATCATTTAGCCACCCTTCCAGCCCTGACTTTTTGCTTTTTTTTTTTTTGTGGTGGTGATGGGGTCAGTTATGGGGCTTGAACTTGGGGCCTATGTGCTGTCCCTAAGATCTCTTTCTCAAGGCTAGTACTCTACCACTTTGAGCCACAGTACCAATTCCAGTTTTCTGGTGGCTAATTGGAAATGTCTTAGGACTTTCCTGCCCAGGCTGGTTTTGAACCACAATCCTCAGATCTCAGATCTCCTGTGTAGCTAGGATTACAAGGTGAGCCCCAGTGTCTATTTTCAGTAGGATCTTCATTCCTGCCTAGGCATGAGGCCTCCCTGGAGCTAGGATAAGGGGTGCTCACATTCAGCTCTTCATTGAGAAGGGGTCTGATTAACTCTTTTCTGTTTGTTTTCTGTGTGTGAGTACCAATATTAAGGCTTGAACTCAGAGCCTGGATGCTGTCCCTTAGCTTTTCACTCAAGGCCATAAACTACTACTTGGGCTAGCCTTATGCTGCCACTATCTCGGCTTCCTAAGTAGCTAGGATTACAGCCTGAATCTCCAACACCAGCTTTTTTTTTTTTTTTGGGGGGGGGGTCCAGTTGTGGGGCCTGAACTCTGGGCCTGGGCACTGTCCCTCAGCTCTTCAGTTCAAGGCTGGTGCTCTACCACTTGAGCCACAAGCACCACTTCTGGCTTTTTCTGCTTATGTGATGCTGAGGAATCGAACCCAGGGCCTCGAGCATGCAAGGCAAGCGCTCTACCACTGAGCCACATTCCCAGTCCCCCTTTTTTTTGTCAGCTATGGGGCTTAAACTCTGGGCCTAGGCGCTGTCCCTCAGCTGTTCAGCTCAAGGCGAGCGCTCTACCACTTGAGCCATAGCGCCACTTCCGGTTTTCTAGTGGTTTTTATTGGAGATAAGTCTCATGACTTATTTCCGGGCTGGCTTTGAACCACTATCCTCAGATCTCAGCCTCCTGAGTATCTAGGATTACAGATGTGAGGCATTGGCACCCTGCATTTTTTTTTAGAAATGAAATTGTGAAGCCGGGCGCAGGTGGCTCACGCCTGTAATCCTAGCTACCCTTAGGAGGCTGAGATTTGAGGATCATGGTTCAAAGCCAGCCCAGGCAGGAAAGACCGTGAGACTCCTATCTCCAATAAACCACCCGAAAACTGGAAGTGGCGCTGTAGCTCAAGTGGTAGAGCGCTAGCCTTGAGCTGAACAGCTGAGGGACAGCACTCAGGCCCAGAGTTCAAGCCCCATGACTGACAAAGAAAAAAGAAAAAAAAGAAATGAAATTGTGAGCCAGACACCAGTGTCTAATGCCTGTAATCCTAGCTCGGAACTCAGAAGGCTGAGATCTAAGGATTGTGGTTCAAAGCCAACCAGGAAGGAATAGTCTGGGAGGGGTGTTTTTTTTTCCCCCTGCTTCAACTCAGCAAATGGGTGCTAAGCAAAAAAGCTCCCTGAACTTTACCACTTTGAGCCACAACTCCACTTCTGGTGTTCTGGTGGTTAACTGGAGACAAGTCTCATGGATTTTCCTGTCCAGGCTGGCTTTAAGCCATGATCCACAGATCTCAGCTTCCCAAGTAGCTAGGACTACAGGTGTGAGCCACCAGGGTCCAGCCTGAGTCTTTTCTGTAACTAACCAAAAGCCAAAAGTAGATTTGTGGCTCAAGTGGTAGAGTGTTAGCCTTGAACAAAAAAGCTCAGGTACAGTGCCCAGACCCTGAGTTCAAACCCCAGGGCTGGTACATACAAAAAAAAAACAAAAAGCTCAGAGATAGTACCCAGGCCCCGAGTTCAAGCCCCACAAAAGTTACAACATTGTGAATCTTTCAACACCTGCTTAAAAGTGAAGGGCACCCTGATGCCCTCTCCTTTCTTGGCTGATTTCGTGACTTTGTATTTCAGATGCACAACTGGAGCCCAGAAGAGGCTATAGGAGCCATCACCAAGATCCGGTCACACATCTACATCAGACCTGGCCAGTTGGAAGTTCTTAAAAAGTTCCACAAGGAGATTTCTGCAAGGGCAACAGAAAATAACACTACTCACAGATCTAACACATCAAAAACTCAAAATGTCCCTGCTTGATACAGAATAAATTTTATAGTAATGATGGAGTTTAAGCCAAACTTGATGTAACAGAAATATGCTTAGTAATGGGTAATTTTGTTTCTTTTGTCATTTCATTTTCCTGAGGAAAAGATTTGTGTCTGAATCTAATTTTCCTCAATAGGTTAAAGAAATACTAATCTCAGGGCTGGGAAAGTGGCTCAGTGGTAGAGTGCTTGCCTTACATACATGAGGCCCTGGGTTCGATTCCTCAGCATCACATAAGCAAAAAGAAAAGAGCTAGAAGTGGCGCTGTGACTCAAGTGGTAGAGCGCTAGCCTTGAGCTGACGGACAGCGCCCAGGCCCAGAGTTCAGGCCCCATGACCAGACCCAAAAAAAGAAAAAAAGTAATACTAATCTCAACAAGAATCCTGTGTACCTAATGATATTTAGCACCATAACTCAGACATTTAATACTAGAAAAAGAAAGAAATATCCAGCTCTGGCTCTTTGCCCCTTAGGTCTAGGAGTGTCCCTCAATGGTAAAATTCATATGAGTTCTTGAGTGTGATCTGTAGTACTACAGAAAAGATAGTGGAGTCCCAATTTCATTGACTTTGGGGGTTCCCCTCCCACTTTTGGAGATCAGAATGCAAATCATGTGTGGATATAGGGAGGCCTGCTGATTTAGGAATGCACGGGTTGCACGGGTCTATAATTAGTCCTCCTTAGAAAGTCATCCCTTCAGCTGGGCACTGGTGGCTCATGCCTGTAATCCTAGCTACTCCGGGGACTGAGATCTGAGACTCGCAGTTCAAAGCCAGCCCAGGCAAGAAGTCCATAAGACTCTTATCGATTAACCTCTTAAAACCAGAAGTGGTGCTATGGCTCAAGTGTAGAGTGGTACCCTTGAGCTGAAGAGCTCAGGGGCAGCACCCAGGCCCAGAGTTCAAGTCCCATGACCAAGGGAAAAAAAAAAAAAAAGCCATCCCTTCAAGATTCAATAAAGACAAACACACATCTCTTCAAAAACTTTTATTTGTATGAACAGTTTCTAGCTCCTGATTTAGCCTAGAGCTTTTAAAAGACCAGAGTTTTGAAAACATTTCTGCTATTAATCAGAAATAATTCTATTTCCTGGCTTATCTGTTGAAGTAAGCCAAAAATAAAACCAAAATTACTTTTCCTGACAGACAGATGAAAAACAATGGAAAGAACGTCCTGAATTCTAGAGTTGAGTCTTGCTGGTGAAGAACACCTTCAGCTTAGTCCATTCTCCCAACCAAAGCCTGAAGGAAAACTCTAATACCTAATTGTGTATAACTGAACTAGCCACTTGGCTGGCTGTAGAAAAAAAGGAATGGGCATCTTTCTGCCCTGGGATTGGGCAACTCCTATTTAACATTGATCAGGTAAGGAGGGGAAGCTGTGCCTAAGATCAGAGAGAAACTGGCTCTAAGCAATTTGTAGTGAGGCACGGGATCACGGGATGGCCACCTCGGTTCAAGCAGCCAGCTGAGGAGCAGCAGTCTACTAAGTCTCAAACAGAACATCCCTATGGGTTTAGGGCCAGGCTGGAAGTGCTGTTTTCTACTGTACGTCCAAACTAACACATTACTCTGAATTGAGGTTCAAGGGAGGTGCTGGAAAAGGGAAGGACAAAGGAATCAGCTGTTCTTTTCCATCACTGTCTCAGGCCAATACAAACTGCAAATTGGTAAGCAGCACCTTGATGCCTCTTGTGACAGTTATAGCTGAAGTGGCAGGGTCGAGCTTGTAGGTGTTGGCATCCCCCTTCTTATATCGGTCCCGGAAGACATAGATGCTCCCATTACAGCTGGCAATCTTCCAGAGGGATGGGGCAGAGCTCCAGGCCTCAGGAAGGCAAAGCCTGGTGAAGCTGTCTAGAAGGGGATTATAGCACACCAGGGAGTCCCCTTCAGCCACAATGAATACAAGATCTTTATGTACAGCTGCGTGCATGCGGCCTGCGAAGGGCAGCACGTAGGGCTTCACGTGGCACTTGTCTGTTTCTGTGTCAAAACACTGGATTAGTCGGGAAGGTTTGGTAAAGAAGTCCAGGTCATTCTCCTCACCCCCTAGTAAGTAGATGATTCCATTGAGGTTAGCACCAGCGGCCCCAGACACAGCCACCTCTAGCTGGGTTGTCTCTGTCCATACATTATCACCTACCCGGTAATAAATGACTGCGTTGGAGAGAGTATCCTGCAGTGTCTTGCCACCCAGGGAGTATATGGCATCTTTCCCAGGCACAGACACCAGGGTGTGCTGGAGCCGGTCTCGAGGCAAAGGTGCACACCACTCCCAGTCAACGGTGGCATTGTTGCACTTCCACATGCGCCGTGGGATGGACCCCCCCACCACATACAGGTCTCCTCCATGCTTGCAGGCTGCGGTGATCTGGTGGCACAAGCTGTTTTGGCCACTTACACTGATGGAGTCATCCTCTGCACAGTGTAAGGACACAGCCAACGAGTGGGTACGAGATGACTCTTTCCCGATAAGGTAAATGTGCACGTTCTCCCCAATTTCCTGTTGGCCAGATTAAAATGATAAATGCCATGTCAGCTCGTGGTGAAGGCTCAGCTCGGACATCTTGCTCTAACCACTCCCCTCCAGTTACTGTTTGTCATACTTGCTCTCTTCTAATCACCTAACTTTACACATTTTATGCTGGGCAGAGCACATTTGTATTCATCCTTTCAATTTTATATTTTGATTTTTACAATTTACTAAGGCACAATTCCCAGCCCAGATGGTGGTTTCTGGAGTCACAAACACAATCTTCTCTCCAGCTCAGCAACTTCAAGCCAGTTTATTCAGTAGGCACCAAAGAGGCCAGCTAGAATGCATTGGTACCCCAATTTATAACAAATCTACTTTACCTTTAAACTAGTCCTAAGTGATTCTGCAAAAGCCTCTCTTTCTTCTTTATTAAAACTGATCCAGGCTTCTATTGCTTCTGTGGGGTTCTGGGAACATGGAACCCCATCTGTGAGAGCCAAAGAAAGGCACAGTCAGTGGCAATATGATCATCTGAAAGGGAAACTTAGGAAAAATGGCTTTAAAGATGTGAACCAGCTGGGCACCAGTGGCTCATGCCTGTAATCCTAGCTACTCAGGAGGCTAAGATCTGAGGATCTGGGTTCAAAGCCAGCCTGGGCAGGAAAGTCCATGAGACTCATCTCCAATAAACCACTCAGAAAACTGGAAGTGGCACTGTGGCTCAAGTGGTAGAGTGCTAGCCTTGAGCTGAAGAGCTGAGGGGACAGTGTCCAGGCCGAGTTCAAGCCCCATGACTGATAAAAAAAAAACCCACAAAAATAAACTCAAATAATATGGATAGCATGAAATGCTTCCACATGTTATGGAAGCAACCTACAAGGCTGCAGAACTTAACACTTTTAAGTATGGCTACATCTCACTTGCAGGCTCACAATGTTACCTAACATCCCATCACTAAAAACATTTCATCTGTGGCACACACCTGTAATCCTAGCTACTCAGAAGGCTGGGATCTGAGGATCGTGGTGCAAAGCCAGCCCAGGCAAGAAACCCCTCAGACTCTTATCTCCAGTTAACCACCAAAAAAAGCAGCCAGAAGTAAAGCTGTGGCTTGTGGTAAAATTCTAGCCTTTAGCAGAAAAGCTCAGGGACAGCATCCAGGCCCTGAGCTCAAGCCCCAGAACCAGCATCAAAAAAATAAAAATAAAAATCATTTGTTCATTCATTTATTTTAGTTGTTTAAGGTTCTGAAACTCAGGGCCTTGCACTTGGTAGGCAAGTGCTTTACCAATTGAGCTACACTCCCAGCTGGAAAAATAAAAAAGGATAATTTTGTCAACTTACTTAGATAACTAGTCCTATAGACAAATGCAAAGTATAGGACAGATGAGAGCAATTAGGCATAGGACAGATTAGCTAGCTTCTCTCAGTCTTTTGTGGCAATGTGAGGCATTTTGTTTTCTAGGTTGCTTCTTTTTTTTTTTTTTGGGTCTGGTCATGGGGCCTGAACTCTGGGCCTGGGTGCTGTCCCTCTGCTCTTTAGCTCAAGGCTAGCGCTCTACCACTTGAGCCACAGCGCCACTTCCGGCTTTTTTCTTTTTGCTTATGTGGTGCTGAGGAATCGAACCCAGGGCCTCAGGCATGCAAGGCAAGCACTCTAACACTGAGCCACCTTCCCAGCCCTCTAGGTTGCTTCTTTAAGGAACTCTATCTCTGACAGCAGCTCTACATTCCTACTACAAATAGTAAACTCTCAACAGGAAACTTGAGGGCTCCTTTCTCCTGAACCAGAACATCCACTGAACATTATACCCAAACATTTGGGTATGTCCCCTTTTAAACTTACCCGAGATGATATCAGTGAGTAGATGGTGGGGCAAATGGAGAAATTCCTCTGTGCTCCGTAACTGGGCCAGGTGGGTCTTGGCACAGTGCTTGGCTGCAGTGTAGAGCTCAGGATCACTGTGCCTATCTGCCAGCCACATCACCTGAAGGCAGTTTCCCACCTGTACTGTGCGGGCCAAAAACCGAGAACATTCCTCAAAGAGAGATGTCAGCTGATACATGTCTGACACCTCATAAATTTCCTGCAGCTCATCAGCACGAAGTTTCACAGTCCCATGGTAGATATAATCAACCAGGAGCTGGAAAACAGACTCACTGACATCCTGCAGTACAATCACTCGGTTGTGGGCCTCCTTCAGGTTAGAGGTGAACATGGACCGGAAGAAGCAGCTCTGAGCTGAGAGGACCAGCCTGTGGAGCTGAAACTCCCGGCCTTCCACTGAAATGGTGACATCAGCAAAGAGCTCCTCCTCTAGACACAGTTTCATGATGCCCTGAGCCACTCGCCCTGAGTGGGACCGATCTTTGAAAGTGTAGTTCACAAAGTAATTCTCATCCATGGATGCTCCAGGCTCCTCTGGTGATTCCATGGTAGCCAACTTCTCTCTCTTCCAACTATCTGAAAAGCAATAACCACTCTAAGGAATTTGAGGAATCCACAGCTATAGTCTGTGAATACAGCTGGGAGAACTGTTTAAATGTAAAAGCAAAGTGGGTCCAGACTGACCTTAGGCCTGGCCCTGCCATTGGTGTCCCTGACATTCTCCTTCACTCAGAGCTGCTTTCATTCTCCTGAAGTGGCAGATCTCCTCCAATGAAATCAATAAAGTTCTAACTGATGGTTTCCCTGAGAGAACACCAAATATTCCTTCCCATGATGTAACAAAAGACTTAGGATTTAGGTCAACATGTGTAAGCAAGGGCCTGGAGAAAGTCTATGGTCTTTTATTTATTTATTTTTGGGTCCGGTCATGGGGCCTGAACTCCGGGCCTGGGCGCTGTCCCTCAGCTCTTCAGCTCAAGGCTAGCGCTCTACCACTTGAGCCACAGCACCACTTCCGGCTTTTTTTTCCTTTTTGTTTATGTGGTGCTGGGGAATGGAACCCAGGGCCTCATGCATGCAAGGCAAGTGCTCTACCACTGAGCCACCTTCCCAGCTCGTCTATGGTCTTTTAAAAAGCCATTCTAACCAAATAACTTGGCATTAAAATAGTGAAGCTGAGGGTTAGACTGCACTAGGTTAGGGAAATAAAACCAAACAGAAGAAAAAAGACACCCTATGGGTTTCTCCCTCTCTCCACATGGAGTCCAGCACCTCCAATATGAGGCCTAGGCTGGGTCAACCAACAACCTTACTTTTGCTCTCTTCTGAGTTTCTGTCCCCACTTACCAGCTCGCCCAAATGATTTCCTGAAGGTCCATTCCAGAACTTGAGACAGAGCCCAACTGTCTCCAGCTCCAGGCACAAGGAGGACCGTCGCCCTTCGGGTTGGAAGGGTGTCCCAGTCCATCTAGAGTCGCCAGGGAAACGGTCTCCAGGGAAACCGTTTTCTCCCCCACAAGCCCCTTGGCTCGCCCGCCCCACCGAGAGCTCAGCGGGCGGAGCGGGGGAGGGGGTGTGGAGCCTAACAGCGCCGAATGCCCGTCCCTCTCCCCTCCTGGTCTCACCGGTTCGATTCCTCAACGTCTTCACCTTCTCTCCAGCTGCGGCTACACCGAGCTTGGGCTACGTTCGCCTCACTGTACGCCCACCTGCTGGTCTTGCTTTCTCACCTGCGTTCCCTCCTCTCATCCCGGTGCCAGGAACCCGGAACCTCTGCTTCCGGCCCCCTCTCCGCCCGGAAGAACATAGACTGCACACTTCCGCTTCCGGTCCGTGTCCTTGGGGCTCCGCGTCCCGTCCCACCGGCTTTCCCTGCGCCGCCGGCTCTGCGTCCGGGAAGCATGGCGGCCGCCGCGGCCGTGGTCTGGAGGCGCGGGCTGGCGGGGGCCGCAGCTGTGGCCAGGGGTGAGAGGCCGGCCTCTGGCGGAGACCGGGGTCGGGGGTGGAGGTGGCGCGCCCCCGGGCCTCACCCCGCGCCCTCTAACTTGTCTCCCTGTGCAGGGGCTGGACGACCCTCGGTGCTGCTGCAGCGGGTGAGGCGGGAGAGCGCCGCGGCCGACGCGCGCCGTGAGTATGCGCGCCGCGCGCGGCCGACCGCCCGCAGGGCCTCCTGCGTCCGGTGTTTGTCCTTGTCCGGAATGCCCTTCCCCGGGTCTGGCCTTGGGGAGCTAGCCCGCAGGCTGAATCGAGCCCTCTCTGCCCTAGATCTCCATTCCGTTTGGGCCGTATTGTCCCCTCTCAGTTTTCATGACTCTCGTTTTCTCTGATTAAATGGTTAACGCACTGAGCACAGGAAGCAGAACTTTGGGCCTCAGAGCTCAGGAATAGTAGTTAATTGCGTTCTGTGTGGCTGGTATCTCACGAAGCCTTGTAGCGAATAATCTTATTTGTTATGAGGTCGGTAGTAGTTTATTGCCTGTAGATCAGGAAAACAATCCAGACAGTAAAACTGCCCAGCTACAGACCTTGAGAATGGCAGGTCTGCCGAGGGAAAGAACACTTAATCATTACTCCCCAGGCTGTGAGGTGTGTGTACCCAGTGATTTAGGATCACATGATCACTAGTGACTCTAATAGTTATTGTCGTTCTTTATGTCCATTGGAAGAGGGGAGGGGCTGTTCTCCCGAAACCTAACAATTAACATCAGCAGATTGGACTATCGAAGGCCTGCCTTTCTACCCCTTCTGAGTTTTAATTTTCTTAACATACACACAGTCATACACAGTCTGTGTTTTCAGGACCATAATCTGTGAGGGCTCTTCAGCCTGAAGTTCTTGGCTTGAGAATCCTGGGTCCCATCCTGACCTTAAAGAGATCCTAGTCTGCTAGAGAGTAGACTGTGCTGTCTTACAAGTATAG